GAATAGTTTCCGAGATAGACGAGAAACAAAAGGAACTTCAATTCTGCAAGTTACAAAACGACCCCCCCTTACGTGCCAAACTTTGAAAAATATTAATTTCAGCACCTCTATCTGTAATTCAATATACAAGTAAAACACGATAAAAGAAATTGATTGGTGCAAAGCAAACTCCAATCAGATCAATACTTTCCGAGATAGACGATTCCGAAAAATATTAATTTAAGCACTGCTATATCAAATTCTGTATACAAGTAAAACACTATAAAAGAAATTGATTGGTGCAAAGCAAACTCCAATCAGACGAATATTTTCGAGGTAGACGATAAATTAAAAATGAACCTTAATTGTTCAAGTTACAAAACGACACCCCCTTCATGCCAAATTTCGAAAATTATTAATTTCAGCACTGCAATATCTAATTCTGTATACAAGTAACACACGTAAAAAGAAATTGAATGGTGCAAAGCAAACGCCAATCAGACGAATAGTTTCAGAGATAGACGAGAGAGAAAAAAAACCTCAATTGTTAAAGTTACAAATCGACACCCCCTTACGTGCCAAATTTCGAAAAATATTAATTTCAGCACTGCAATCTCTAATTCTGTATACAAGTAAAACACGTTAAAAGAAATTGATTGGTTCAAAGCAAACTCCAATCAGACGAATATTTTCCGAGGTAGACGAGAAATAAAATGAACCTCAATTGTTCAAGTTACAAAACCACACCCCCTTACGTGCCAAATTTCGAAAAATATTAATTTAGCACTGCTATATGTAATTCTGTATACAAGTAAAACACATTAAAAGAAATTGATTGGTGCAAAGCAAGCTCCAAACAGTCGAATACTTTCCGAGATAGACGAGAAACAAAATGAACCTCAATTGTTCAAGTTACAAAACAACCCCCCCTTAAGTGCCATATTTCGAAAAATATTAATTTCAGCATTGCTATCTCTAATTCTGTATCCATGTAAATTACATTAATAGAAATTGATTGGTGCAAAGCAAACTCCAATCAGACGAATATTTTCAGAGATAGACGAGAAAAAAATGAACCTCAATTGTTCAAGTTACAAAACGACCCCCCCCCCTTACGTGCCAAATTTCGAAAAATATTTTTTTCAGCACTGCTATCTTTAGTTCTGTATACAAGCAAAACACATTAAAAGAAATTAATTGGTGCACAGCAAACTCCAATCAGACGAATAGTTTCAGTGATAGACGAGAAACAAAATGAACCTCAATTGTTCAAGTTACAAAACGACGTGCCAAATTTCGAATAATACGTGCCAAATTTCGAATAATACGTGTCAAATTTCGAATAATATTAATTTCTGCACTTCCATTTGTAATTCTGTGTATAAGTAGAACAGTTTAAGAGAAATTCGTAAGTGAAAACTAAACTCATATCAGACGAATAGTTTCCGAGATAGACGTCAAACAAAGCGGAGCCTCGAGTCATCAAGTTACAAAACACCCCCCCATTACGTGCCAAATTTCCAAAAATATTAGTTTCGGCACTGCCATCTGATATTTTGTATACAAATAAAACTCTGTAAGATAAATTCATAGGTGCAAACTAAACTTTAATTAGACGAATAGTTTCCGAGATTGACGACAAACCAAGTTACGCCTCGAGTCATCAAGTTACAAAACACCCCCCTACTACGTGCCAAATTTCGAAAAATATTAATTTCTGCACTGCCATCTGTAATTCTGTATACAAGTAGAACACTTGTATTGTAGAAGAACAATGTAGAACATTGCAAGAGAAATTGATGGGTGAAAACTAAACTCATATCAGACGAATAGTTTCCGAGATAGACAAGCAAAGTGAAGCCGTGAGTCATTTAGTTTCAAAACACCCGCCAATTACGTGCCAAATTTCGAAAAATATGAATTTCAGCACAGCTATCTGAAATTCTACATAGTAGTAGAACACTTTAAGAGAAATTCACGCGTGTAAGATAGAGAAAACAAATATTGTCTTTTCTCGTAAGTGATGTAAATTAATATTTTTTCAAATTTTTTTTCCAAGAAGTGTTTTTAAAGGGCCTGTTTCAATATGAACCCTTTAACCATAGATCATGAGGCATGAATAAATTAGGTATTTTAGTGTTAATCTTGGATTAATATTTTGTTGCAAATGGGGAAACTGTTAAAAACAATGTAAACTATTGTTGTGCCCAGAACACTCTGAGTTTGCAATATCACTCTCAGCTACCTCTCAACAGGCACGGACTGAGAGCTGCCACGTGTTACACACATTCAATCACAAGGGAAGCCATAGGACTACCAACTTCTATCACAAATGTTTATCTCTAACATATACTATACATCTCTATAGTATTTGTCCTTAACACCTAGAAATGTCCCAACAGACTTTCTTCATGGAAACTAATAAAGCAAATTGTATTTTAGGAAAGACACGGTTCCGTATTACTAAATGAAGCAATAAGAGTAATAAAATGAAAATTAAAATTAAAAGGTTCGTAAATAATTAATATTTTAATTTTATGTATTAAATGGATGTACAAAATATGTTTAAATTAATATATTAGGAAATATGTACACAATTGAATTCATTTTTTCACATCTCTATTTAAAAATGATAACATCTCCACAATTAGATCTTGAAGAGAAGAGTTATTAGAAGATAGTTTCATAAAGTCCTCCTGCATATTTGTTAAAGTCTTTATTAATTGATGTGTTAGAACACGTTTATGAGCTATATCCTGTTTAAGGCACTGAATCTTCACAACTTGCTCTTCCACTACATCTTGTAACATTTCATTACATTTCATTAGATTTTCAGCTTCATGACTTTTCATGTCTTGATGTGGATCACCTGTTGGTCTCCTGTGGAAAATAATTTTTTCTCTCATTACTTTTATAGTAAGATTCTACTATCTGTGAATTCAAATACTGTTCATACATTCAGAACACGTAAGTGTGAATGCACTTCAATGAAGTGTTGAAAAAGTTAAATGGGTAATTCCATATCAAAATGTCAAATTATTGCATGACAAGTTTGTTGAAAATCTGTACCCTACCTCAATCTGATGAAAAAAACGTTTAGTACTCTTTGTAAGTTAGAAATTATATTTTTGGTCTAAATTGTGTTCTATCTATATAGTATAAAACTACACATTCTTAAAAAGTAAATAAGAGCTGAATAGCTTCGATCTTACATGAACTGAAATGTCATTTTGTTCATTACTTTAGTTTTAACTTCAGTAATGAACAAAATGACATTTCAGTTCATGTAAATTTAAAACATTTGTAATATTGTATATGATATATATATAATATATATATATATAATATATGTATATATAATATATGTGTATATATATATTACAATATAACATATATACATATACATACATATATACATATATACAGTATATACATATATACATATATACATATATCATAATCATACCATATTTACATATTTAATATATAGCATATATACTTATAATTATACAAAATATGTTATGGGCAAGAAGAATATAGTCGACAGTAGTTTGCATATATCATAGCGCGGAGATAGATGAAGAAGTCTATAGTAAAATAATATATAACAATATCATACATATATACCCATAATATACATATATTACAATATATCACCAACATATAGGGTAACATATTACTACATATATACAGTATATACATATCATCATCCATCATCAACACCTATCATAATTAACATATATC